CCAGGTCCTGTAAATAAGGGGGGGGGGGTGAGAAAAGATAAGGAAACCCAAGGAGGCCTGATCACCATGAGACCAGTAAGCAGAGTGCTCCAGCCCCGCGCCTGCCCTAAGCCACTACAGCTCACTCCACAAAAGTCCTGTCAGCCCAGAAGGCACGGGAGAGCCAGGCGTTCCGCTCCCAGGAGGAAGCTGCGCACTGCTCCAGCAGACTGGACCCACAGAGCCTTTCTGCTGCAGCAAGGGTCAGGATAGCAGCGTCTTCAGGATTAGTAGTAACTGAAGACAAAAAGCTCATTTGAGTGGGCAGTGATAGCCCAGACCCGGCATCACTCTAACACATGACTGCTACCAGAGAGAACAAAGAGAGCCACGTTTGACAGAAAATGAAATCTCATGATACATTTTCATATTTCAGCACTCGACTTTGTGATTTCAGTCTTACACTCCCCTGTTTTTCTTCCTACTTCATGTTCTTACCTTTTCATTTTTTCACCACTAAACTATAATCCTTACAGGCAGAAGCAGCATTTTTTTTTTTTTTACTGACCTCTATGTCCTACAGTGCTTTGTTCATATGTCTAGATTCTCCATACAGCTACTGACAAATTGGTAAACTGTGGCAGAAATGTGTTCCTTGTGCTGCCGAATGTCTGTCTCTCTTGTTTCAGGACTGGCATAGTTTGTCTCTTTTACCGACACTGCACTAAGCAGGTGGCCCAGGTTTGAAAATCAGAACAAATCTCCTGCCACATCACAGCTTCAAACCAGAGCTGATCTACTATCAGCATCTCACCAAGTGCTTCTTGCAGCTGCCAGAACTCCTCTCTCGCAGGCACTTCTGTGTGGACTTGCTGCAAGATTTTGTCACCACGACTGGAGAGCCTGAGAGCAAAGCCACTCAGAAGGGCGTGTGACCAGAGCTGCAGAGAGGATGTGGGCTCTGCTGGCCCTGCTGGAGCCTAGGGCTGTGCAGCAGCTGAAGCCACAGCAGCTCTGGACTGCTCAGTCACTGGGACCAGTATGTTTTCCTTTTCTGCTAAAGCCAATTTGGATCTGATTTTCTGACACATGCAACTAAAACATAGTAAATAGTACATAAATCTCACCTCCAGAAGACTTTCTGCTGTGAACCCTATCAAGCAAGCAGAATTAAACCAGTCAAATAAGCAAATTCCACAGTTGAGAGCTGCTATTGCAAACATCCTGCTGTGGGGAAAGGTCGCAGCCTTTTTTGTAAACACGGGAAGGGGGCTATTGAACTTGGGAATTCAGATGCAGCCTAGGCTGCCTGCACACCACAAAGTGTGGTCTTTAAGCCTTATAGCCGTGAACCGGGGGCTGACAAGCCTGGTCATGGTCAGGGTGCCTTTGTGTTCAGCTGAAGAAGACAATGGCTAATTTGTTTTAATAGCACAGATTTTATTAAATCGCTGATAAAATCATATTGCCTAGTCATAGTTATATATAGTGAATTTCTCTGTCAGAGCCAACAAATAATAATAACAACTTAGAAATAAACCTTAGTTCCTGTCCTCAACATCAAATCATGGCTCACCCACTTTTCCTCTGCCATGCCATAAGGTGTATAGATAGCATGGTCTGGTCAGAATGTTGGCATTATTACATCACTGAAGGTATAAAAATACAGGTCTTTCATTGTTAAAGAAGCCTTTTTTTCTGGACATTCACAAAAGTCTTGAGTCTCTTGAATCCCAAGGCAAAGTAAACTTTCTGAATATTTGAGTTTCCTCCTAAGATTGAATGGCTGCCAAACCTCAAGCTAAGAAATTTAGATTAAAACTTTCTTTAAAAAGCGATTCAAGGGTGCCTGGGTGGCTTGTTGGTTGAGCGTCTGACTCTGGATTTCAGCTCAGGTCATGATCTCACAGTTCATGGGTTCAAGCCCCAAGTCAGGCTTATCCCTGACAGCACAGAGTCTGTTTGGGATCTTCTCTCTCCCTCTCTCTGTCTCTGTCTCTGCCCCTCCTGTGCACGTGTTCTTTCTAAATAAATAAGCTTTAAAAAAAGTGATTAAAATATTTTAAAATGTCTATACTAAAATATTTTTTTTTAATTAAGAGTTTCTAAAACACTAGGAAGAAAATTTTTACTTTGGAAACTTCACAAGCTTGAAACAAGCTTAAGCTGTGGAAATAATTTCCATATTTATCATGGGCAATAAAATAGGGGCTGGGTCCCTGCAAAACAGAATGCTGAGACCCCTGTTTGGAGTAACTTGCCACCAGGGAGAGAAACTGACCCTTTCAAGCATTTCCACCCCCCTGCCTTATACTCAGGGCCAGGATTTCCCAACTTTCCTTCATATCAACAAGCATCCACTATAATATTTTCCTCAGTGGACTCTGGACTATGAGAAAGGTACCTGTAGGAAAAGTTTACAAGCTTAGAAATGGTTTTCCAAATGTCCATTAATTAGATATTAACCAAATTATTAAGCCTTATAACTAACATGAAATAAAGGTTAATTCACTGAATTGATAAAAACCCAGCCAAAATCAAAGTAAGTAGAAAGCTGCAAAGGAAATATATAGGATTGATTAAGTCTTTGCCAAAATAAAAGAAACTTCATGCATCTATGTAATTTTTAAAAAGGCTTTGATACAGTGACCTTAGGTGGAAGCTTTATTAGAACATGCCAGACAGCTATGGCTGGCCATTGTTTCTTAAACTGATTCTTATCTTTCTGTGGCCTTGGTTTAACTACTTCCTTTGACTTAAGGGGACAAAACTTATCAGTTCCAGAAATCAAAACCAGTCTCTCTGGTCACATTAGCAGCCTTGTAGCCCACACTTTATTTTATTTTTTTTTTAATTTTTTTTTTAATGTTTTATTTATTTCTAGAAGAGAGAGAGAGACAGCATGAGCAGGGGAGGGTCAGAGAGAGAGGGAATCACAGACTCTGAAACAGGCTCCAGGCTCTGAGCTGGCAGTCAGCACAGAGCCCGACGCGGGGCTCGAGCCCATGAACCGCGAGATCATGACCTAAGTGAAAGTCGGACGCTTAACCGACTAAGCCACTCAGGCGCCCCTTGTAGCCCACACTTTAAACCCAAACATTAGTGTACCCTATGCTTCCTTTCTCCTCACCAACCACAGGCTGCAGATGGGGGACAGAGTAGGGAGTGACAAGCACTTAACTTTCAGCTTTAGGAAACCCTTGATTTACACCCACTTTTATCTTTCCTCGAACTAAAAAGTGACCCTTGTTCAGAGCAGGACTACACATGCCCCTCTGGTCTGATCATTTGGTGAAAAAAAAAAAAAAAGGATTCTTCCCAAAATAGAAAATTCAGTGTGCTTAGGTTTTAAGTTGCACACAATTATGTCTTGTCACGATACATTTGCAAACAAGGTAACATGTACAAGGACTTCTGTGACCCGCAGTCAGTCCAGCAGCACAACCAGCTATCCTTCCCTTTGACCCACACCAGTTTTCCTTGTGAAGCACTGAATCCTATTTTCAAATAGTGAGAGCTCTCCTGAGGGTAAATGCTTCCTAAGTGGAATACAAGCATCAAATCACTCTTGATGAGGAAAGATTTATTATTATTTCTTAATCTTACAAAAGATGAGGGTTAGTATTTTCTCATTTTACAGAAACTTTATTTAAATAGAACATCAGTAAGGGTGCCTGGGTGTCTCAGTTGGTTAAGCCTGCAGCTCTTGGCTTCTGCTCAGGTCATGATCTCATGGTTTGTGATTTCCAGCCCAGCATCAGGCAGTTCAGGGCCTGCTTGGGAGTCTCTGTCTCCCTCTCTCTCTGCTCCTCCCCCACTGGTGCGCACACACATACACTCTCTCTCTCCTCTCTCTCTCAAAATAAATAAATTTTAAAAATAAATAGAATGTTAGTGAACCAAACAACTAATTCTCCTTAATTTAAACAAGATAAACAGGATGGAAGCCATAACTTATTTGATTATTCTAGCCTTCAACACAGTAATTTGCAGACACCTCAGAATCAGGCACCGCACGGGTCATCCGCGCTCAGGCCCACACAAGGAAGGAAAGGACACCTGGGAGACGTGTGATTTCTCTGGAGTGCAGAGAATACAGATCTTCCAACTTATCATTAACTAGGCATCTCCCACATGTCAATAAAAACATTCCCGAGAACAAGAATGCAGGACATGCATGCTCTGTAAGCAGAACAAAACCTGAAAACCTTCTCTCCCACCAGTAAAACTTTCCAGGCCCATCAGATTCCCACTCCCTAGGGGCAAGGGGCCCCTGTCTGTGTCATTCTTTCCAACTCAGCCCTGGTGGCAGCACTGATAACACTGAAACATTGTTGAAATGAAGTGAAAAGGATACATTTCAGGCCAGCAGGTACATCTCATTCCTTGTGGTCATCCACCGGTTCAGATCACTGTCACACTTGTTTAACTAGGAAGACCCACTGCATCAAGGAGACCGCAGATGTCCCGTGCTCCCAGAGCCGCACGCCACCCCACCCGCCTCTCCTGCTCTCACAGACCTCCTTACCACAAGAGGTTCCCCAAATCCATCCTGGTGGGCAGGGCAGGTGAGCGTGTGGAGGGCACAGCACATTCACCCCCGGTCCCCCCTCGCGCCCGACTTCCTGCCCCCGCGAGTCAAGCGCACATCACACCCGCACCACCACAAGAGCTCTAGAGTGTCATTTATTGAAACAAATTGGAACGAAAAAGGGTAATAAGTGCTTTTCAAACATTAGATTATTACAAATAACAAAATGAATTACGATTGCTAAAATTAAAACTTAGCAAGAGCTTTTCTGTGAACCGAAACAACTGTGGGCGAGTCTACAGAATTCATTTTGACACTGCGGAATAACCTGTTGATAATGCGCAACACCGAAAAACCCACACACCCTCGTTTCTCTCGCCCTCTTTCACCAAAGATTTACCCTCTCCAGCCAAACTTTTTTAAAGGGGAGGGGTGGAGGTGGTCCCGATTCTAGGTGAGGCTCAGCGGTGTCACCCACACCTGTACTCACTTGTGACCCCCGAGCCTGGTCCTCTCCGGCGCCCCCTCGAGCTGCCGACACCTCCCCAGGAAGAGGAAGAGCGCTCTCTGCTTGGCCCCGCCTTCCTGGGCAGGGACTGCCTAGCCAGGTGCACACCTGAGACAGGTAAGGGGGCAGGTAAACACTCCACTTTTGTCAGTACCAAGCACCCACTACATATATTCCCTGGACAAAAACGACGCAACCCTCGGAGTAACTAGGGAATGTCTGTGCACCACTGCGTCAGTCCCGGGGTGGCTTCTAAAGCACCCCATCTTTTACAATTGGAACAACCCAGGCCGATGGGCCTGTCGCTGAGCGGACGTTGTGCGCGATCAGGGCACTGGGTGTCGGGGCGAGGCAGGTGTCTCGGGGGCCCGGGAAGTGCCCCCTGGTCCCGTGCGGACTCCGCTCACCGCCTGATCGCAGGCCTCGCGCGGCCCTGGTCTGTGTAGGGGCTGGGGGGTGGGGTTCACCTGAAGCCAAGGAGGGAGAGGCCTGACCCGTCCTGCAGGGCTCCTCACACTCCGAGGACCCTGGGGAACACGCTCAGGACCCCTCTGGTATCGGCCAGTCATCCCACGCACCCTCAGCACCCTCTCTGGGCGCCCTCCCCCACCCTGAGGTGACCAGTGTGCAGAGCCCGGGACCTGAATCAGCCCCCACTGGCACAGTCCCCCTTCCAGGTGACTCACGGCCCCGCCCCCACTCCGCCCCCTCCTCGAAGCCCGTCCTCCTCCCTGAGGCCCCTCCTCCGCTTCCACCCACACACACACACACACCCACACACACACCCACACACACCCACACACACCCACACACACACACCCACACCCACACCCACACCCACACCCACACCCACACACACACACACACACACACACACACCGGGTCCCGCCCCCACACCGCCCCCTCCCCGAGGAGCCTTTTCGGTCTTCAGGTGATGCGCCGCTCCCCCCCCCCCGCCTCCGTACTGCGCAGGCGCAAGGCCTGAACCTTCGCCCAGGGAGGCGGAACTGCGCAGGCGCGAAGGTCGGGACGCTCGAGGTGCGCATGCGTTGAGCCGGAGAGGTTCCGTCGCGCTGAGTGGGCGCCTCGTTGTGCGCGCGGGAAGATGGCTGAGCCGGGGTGCAAGTCTGTGCTCTTCGTGTGTCTGGGTGAGACGGCGGTGATCTAGCCCCATTCTGGCTTTCCCGAAGGGTCGGGGTGGGTCTCGTGCATGTTGGGCTGCGTCGCTGGCCAGGAACGGTGATCGGGAGGAGGCCGGGGAGGATGGGATGGGGACTCTCCGGAGCTGTTTCTCCGCGCCGCGCACCTGCTGGGCCGGCTCTCCTAGCTGAGTCCCCTCATGTGCCCAACCCACTCTCCAGGCGAGGTCCTTTCTCTGCCAGGTCCCCTCTCACCGGCCCACTCTGCAAGCCTGGGCCCTCTCTTGCTTGGTCCGTCCTATCGAAACCGGGTCTCCTCTTGTATGTCTAGCTCGCTCTGCAAACCTAACACCTCGGCTGCCCGGCCCTCTCGGCAAGCCGAGTGCCGTCTCGCCTGCCCAGCCCTCTTTGCAAGCCTGGGTCCCCTCTTACCTGCCCAGCCCTGTCTAAGCCGAATCGCCTGTCACCTGCTCAGTCTTCTCAGCAAGCCGTGTGTCCTCACCATCAACACCAACCCTGCAAGCCAGGGTCCTTGGGTCCTTTGTATTGCACCCGCCTAGAATCCTGTTTCTCCTTCATCCAGTAGACCCAAGGCTGCTGGACTGATAGATAGACTCTCTTAGGGGCGTCCTGATGCCCCCAGACCCGTGACAACACTGGTTCGCTGGCACATTTTCTTGGTCCTTGCTTACAAATGGGTGTAAGCTAAAGGCAGACAGAATGCAAAGATAATGAATTTCTTGGCTATAAAAGCCAGACCAGGAACACCTGACTGTCCAGGTCTCTATGTAACCAGCCTCATTTGCCAATGTTCCAATTTATAATTCACTTTCCCTTTAGTTGTCAGGATTCTTCCTTTGGTGTAGCAGCACCAGGTTATATTTTTCTCAGCGTTTGCACCCTGTCTGCTTAACCTCCAAGAGAGGATGAGAAGTCCTGATTCATCAATAGTCCAGTTACTTAAAATCTTCTGATGAATCTGAATTTTCTATGAAATAAGCATTCCCCTCCTTTGTATGCTGCCCCCTGCAAGATGATGGAAGTCTGCCCATCCATTTTCACTTTATCTCCGTTACGTTTTTTTGCCCATACACCCTGGAAACTGCTGTGTCCCAGCATTTCAGTGCACAAAGTACCTTTGATAGTTTGGGTATTTCTGGGCACCCATTTTGCATTTTCCCTGGAAAGGCTTTCTGTAAAGTTAGACCCAAATATTCCCTTCTTTGCTTTTCCCAGAACCTCCAGGTGGAAGTAGTTTATCCATAGCCTTATAGACATCTTTCATTATATGCATTTAGCCCTCTTGAGGGCAATAACTGCGGCGTATTTTTCTGTATTTCCAGCTTCAAGACAATATATGACGATCACTAGGTAAATGCAGAATTGAATTTCCATGAGAGGAAAAGGAAAAGGGCCTCCTTGTTTCACTTTAAAGGCCAATTTCTGGAGTCAGTACATTTATTGAAGTGTAGTTCAGTTCATGTTGGGTTTCTGACAGCATTCTATTGCCCGTTTATTTTACTTGCCATTGTCGATTTTGCTGACATAATGCACCATGATGGCTGTTCACAGGTGATATATACCTGTGTATATTCATCTTTCATACAATTTTTTGTTGTTCTGTTTTGTTTTAAGCAACTCTCATATTACCAGGCACTCCTGAGTGCTAGCAGTATGTAGGGAACAAAACTGCCTCCTCGGAGCTCACATTCTGTCACCAACAGCTAAATACTTGGGCACTCAGTATGTTGGGATTGTGTTAAGAACAGTTGAGCAGGAAAGGAGGATGAGAGTGGAATGCACTTTTAAGTAGAGTGGTCAGGGATGGCCTCATCTATAAGATGACATTTGTGCAGAGACTTGAAAGAGGTGAGAACACAAGCCTTGGATCTTTGGAAAAGTGTCCTGGGCCCAGGAGAAAGTGGGTGGGCAGTTTTGAAGTGAGAGTGCTGGTCCTGTTCATACTGGGGAGGGAAGCCGCCGTGGCCTGACCTAGGGACCCAGGATACCTATTTCAGCCAGACCCTCACCTGTACGGAAGGCTCTAAGAGGAAGTTTGAATGCCACCATGAATACATAATTAGAACCATTCTGGACACAGGAAAGCGAATTCCTTACATAAAATGGGTGCTCTGGGATAGGAGTCTGTGAACCCCTTATTTAAAGAGCCAGAAAGTAAGTATTTGGTATTTTGCACAAGCAGACCTAGACAATACATAAACAGTAACATTTGGCTGTGTTCCTGTCCATAACTTTATGGACACTGCAATTTTGATTCCATGTAATTTTCTCATGTCATAAGATATTATTCTACTTTTGAATTTTTTCAACTGTTTACAAAGGTAAAAATTATTCTTGTGTCAGGGAGCTATACACAAAGGTGGTGACCAATGACTCCTAGTTTTCAGGTGCTGTTTTAGGGCCTTCAGAGGACAGATCTGGTGAGACCATGTGAGGGTGTAGGCTTACTCTGAAACAGATAGGCCACTGGATAATTAAGCCATTGAACAGAGGGACACTCAGAGAGAAGTGTTCAGCTGCTGTAGTGAGATTAGATGGGAGAGGGGCGAGGCCCTCGGGGTGAGACCAGGGGTGCAGAGTGGCATGTGCTGGACCAGAGAGGGCATCATTGGTGCGGGTGATGAGAGGTCAAGTTCTGGGCAGACCTGAGGGGTCAATGAAGGCCTTTTCCCATGATGATCTGTACTTAGAGCAGTAAGAATGGTATGTTTTTGAAATGTAGGGACACCTGGGTGGCTTAGTCGGTTAAGCATCAGACTTCGGCTCCGGTCATGATCTCACAGTTTGTGGGTTCGAGCCCTGCGTCAGGCTCTGTGCTGACAGCCAGCTCAGAACCTGGAGCTGCTTCAGATTCTGTGTCTCCCTCTCTCTCTGACTCTTCCCTGCTCACACTGTCTCTCTCTCTCTCTCAGAAATAAATAAAACCTTAAAAAAAATTGAAATGTAAAAAATGTATTCCTTCAAAGCATTTAGTTGTAAGGCTCTTTTCAGACTGAAGTGTAGAGCAAACTGTCAGATATTTCCCATTAGTAAAGCTAATGGCAAGAAAGAAGCACACTTCTTAGTTTGGAAAGATTATTGAAAGTTTCATGTTTCATGTTTTGTGCGACAGGTGTGTACTTACTGTCGAAGGCATTGGTACTTGTGCCAGAGCCGGCGTGGTTGGAGATGATAACATTAGTGGTGTCAACTTACCTCTTTCGAACAATTAACTAATATTTATTGATACTTCTTATGTGCTGCACCCTGGGGGGTACAGTCCAAGGTAAGAGACACAGCCTCCCCCTCTTGAATTTCATTTTTTCTTTTGTCTCAGTCCTTGAAATATAGGTGTTCAGTAAGAGTATGAATTATCGGCCTAATTTGGAAAAAACAAACTTGAGACTTCACAGATTGATCTTTTTTCTAAGGAAATCTGTAGATGACATGTTAAGTTTTTAGAACTTTTCCATAGATGAAGCCTGCATTACTCTGTTTTACTCATGAGCTCCATTTTTAAATAATTGGTGACACCAACTTTTAAAATCAAGAGAGCAAGGTATAAGAAAGCAGGATTCTGCTGATTTGATAAGTAGTATGACTTCTGTGTTTCATAGTAGTAATTTTTTTTTCCATCTATACTTATTCATATCTTGCTGTAAATAGAACTCTCTGGGGAAAAAGTAATTTTGGGTGAATATGCCTTAACTTTAAGGCAGTAAGTAACCTTAGTTTTTGTCTTGTGGGGAAACTAAGCTGTTATTTCCCAGTTAATAATTATTTGTAAAAGGGGAGACTAGTCTTTATGTCTTTAGATGTGAGATTGTAAACATGTCTCCCTGAGTTTTAAAATAACAAGGGCTGTCTTGAATAGAGTAGGTGCTGTTTAGAAGTATTCCCAGGGGACACAGGCACAAGTAAAAACAATTCCACATCTGTTGGGGCCTTTCAGTAATTGACATAGTGGTCAACAAAGTAACATAGGTACTTGTTTTAAAAACTAAACAAAAATTCAGAATCTGGAAAGGAAAAACTTGATAATACAAACTAGCTCATAGAGGATATTGGGGATCAATTCCTGTCTTCCCCTTCATGGTTGAGTGGTTGATAGATTTTTTTTCACTGCTGTGGAAACCACAATCTTTATGGGGAAAAATATTTTAAGTACATTATTAGGTTGAAGACTAGTGTGGAAACTGAAGAATATTGTAGTAAAGTCAGTGTTGGTTTCATGTAACAGGGAATTAGTTGGGTCTCACAGCACTTCAGAAGATCCAGTTCTACATGCTGAACTCCAAGTCCAAGATTGTAACATGAGTAAAGAGTGACGTGTGTTTTCTCCGTCCCTGTGCGGCCCTAGTGTTTTCCTGCTGGCCTCCGAGGGCAGGCGCCCACCTGCCACTCCAGGCTCTGCCTGCAGGTGTTTGCCTGACTGTGAGAAGAGCCTTCCTCCTCGGGCCCTGGCATGGTGCTGGGCTCCTGCGTGGAGACATGCGGAATATGTTCGTTGGACATTCCCTTCCCGCTGGACACACTAGGCCTGCCCCACGGGCCTGCCGCAGGCCCGCCAGCACACATCCACTGCTCTCTTATTCATACAACCCTTAACTTAAGTGCCCAGTGGGGCGCCTGGGTGGCTTAGTCGGCTGGGCGTCCGACTTTCGCTTGGGTCATGATCTCGTGATTCGTGGGATCGAGCCCCGCGTCGGGCTCTGTGCTGACTGCCAGCTCAGAGCCTGGAGCCTGTTTCAGTCTGTGACTCCCTCTCTCTCTGACCCTCCCCTGCTCACGCTGTCTCTCTCTCTCTCCTAGAAATAAAGAAAACATTTTAAAAAAAAAAAGAAAAATTAAGTGCCCAGTAACGTCCTTTTCCTCCCTTAAGGATCAACTCCAATCTTCTTTTTTTTTTTCCTGATAAGAAATTTTCTTGTTTATGGCTTTAGAATCTTTAGTTTCCTGTGCTCCTGTGGCATACTGCTTGTCTATCAACATTTGTTTTTCTTTTTTTTATTATAGATAACTCTGAATCTTCTGTAAATACCTTGCTTGGCACATGGTAGAAATATTTTGAGAGTAGATTTTATGTCTTTTGTCTTTTCCCCCAGTGTAGTGAGGAATTTGACCCTACTGATGAAAAGTCTGGCCTGGGTTCTGGGAGGTAACTTCCAGTCTCTTGGAATTCCATAGGATAATAGGAGTGTTTTGATATTCCAGGAGGTCCCTGCATAGTTTATGCTGAGAGGGAGAGTCAGGGTCGGGGCTCTGGGCCACTTGTGGGGAGCGGGCTAGAGAATGAGGTCAGCTTCAGGCCTGTAGTTTCATCAGTCATGACTACTTAGTGAAATTCAAGCCTTGGTACCAGGGCTCTGGTGAGCATCTTGGATTGGCAGCACCCTGGGTATTATCCCACGTGGATGACAAGAAGGTGACACATGCCCAAGGATCAGAAAGCTTCAGGTTTGAGACTCTTCCAGAATCTGCCCTGTGCTCTCTAACTTTGGCTGATTCTGCCTTGAATATTTTTGTTAGAAAACAATAATCCCAAGTCTAACATTTTCCTGAGTTTCTCGTGTTCTTCTAGAGAATTATTGTACCTGTGGGGACTCCTGAATTTGCAGCTGCTCTGAAGTGAGGGTAGCCCTCACTCAGGCATCCCTTGGCTTGCAGCCAGTGTCGAAAGTTCTGAGCAGACCTGCTGGCCTGGGGCGCCGCGCCCTTGCTCCCGCCAGCCGGCTCCACGGTGCGGTGGCCGGACCTGCAGCAGACCCTGCGGTGAAAGCTGAACCACTGTTACGACTGAATACCTTTGTTTGTGTATCTCATGAAACAGGATTCCCCCTGTGTGCGGTGTACTTGAATATCTGGGTCTTTAGCGCTACTCTATTTCATTTTAAAGTAGGCTCCTTGCAACCCACTTCATTGATTTCGTAACTCACTTCTGGGCTACTGATAGCAACCTGGAAAACAATGATTTGGGCTGTAATTGTTTTTCTGACTTCGTGGTTATTTGTACTGTGAGTACCTGGACAGATGGGGTGTGACCAGCGGCCCTGCCATTCACTGGTGTCTCCTTAGGGAGGTGCTATTGCTGGGTGTCAGGGTGAAGTGCTTGCTGGGATTCAGCATCTGCCCTTGCATCAGACCTGACGCCCACTTTCTGCGCTCCCCTCTTTTCAAGGTAACATCTGTCGGTCACCCATTGCAGAAGCAGTTTTCAGAAAACTTGTAACTGAGCAAAAGCTTTCAGATTATGTAAGTACCATTCTCTGTCTTAAAGAGGCCAACCCTAATGCCTTGGGGCAGAAAATTGCGAAAAAGATTCTTTTTTTCTCCTGCAGTGGAGGATAGACAGTGCAGCGACATCCACTTATGAAATAGGAAACCCTCCTGATTACCGGGGGCAGAACTGCATGAAGAAGCACGGTGTTGCCATGAAGCACGTTGCCCGGCAGGTACTGTATGGGGACTTGAGAGTGCACGTGTGTGTTCTGTGTTGCAGTGGCTCGCTGACAGCGGCACTGTTTCTGACTGGAACGTGGGCCGGTCACCAGATCCAAGAGCTGTGAGCTGCCTCAGGAATCATGGCATTAACACAGCCCATAAAGCAAGACAGGTAGAAGAGCTCTCATTTAATTTCTATTACTGGAGTCCCATAACTTGAGAAGTCGTGAGAGGTTTAATCACACTGACGTGTTAATGAGCTTTTATTTGGGGTCCGTTTAAGTAGCCACAGTGTGTCCTTGGTGTTTCACTGCTGGTTGCACAGTCTGAAAGATGTGCATGATCTTGGAATTTACTTATCAAACTACGTGTATAATCACATAATTGGTACTGGAGAGAGCCCTGCCTTAGACCCGGGATTACAGTCTCCTTTTTATTTTCTGTCTGATCTTCTTGGAGACTAGTCTGCTTACATTCCAAGTTTGTTGCTATAATAAAGTACTAGAATACATACAACAATGTATTTTCTACTGTGAAGTGTCTTAGAAACATGGGGTAGGGCTGATACTGCTGTGGATGTAGGTCCCGCATCCCAGCACTTGGACTCCTGGTTCAGAGCCTGGAGTGCCGTGCAGTAAATCGTCCTGTGACGGGGGGGGGGTGCGCTGCGTCTGCCCTGACGGTGTGGAAGCCGGTAAAAGCTATTGTACATTTGAAATACGGCCAGCGTGACAGAGGGAATGCAGTCCACACGTTAGCTCACTTTAAGTAGCCTCCCGGAACTGGTAGGCGGCCGGCTGGGCTGCACGGTTCCAGACTCCCGCGTGGCCACGGGGGCGAGCGAGGGCTTCACTGCCGCAGCCTTCGCGGGAGCCGGGGCTCAGGGGCAGGCTCGTGGTGCTCTGTGCCAGCAGGGACTGGTTCCTCAGGAAATCCCCACGTACTGCTACTTTATCACCATGATTATTTCATGGAGAATTAATTGGGTTTTAAAAACATTTGGCTAAATCTTCTCATTTCTTTTTGTATCCAGCCTTACAAAATGTACAGGCCGTGTAGGCCAAGCAAGGCTGTGGACTGGCATCTGAAACAAGAGGCCATGTCCAGTGATGAGATTTTGAAGCCTTTAAAACGAGAAGCCGCTGAATGTTTTGAAGATCAGTTGTCAAATAAGTCATGTATTTAGAAGAATGACTGGCGGTGTGAAAGCCATAATTCAGTCTCAGCGTTTGAAGGAGAACCTTGTATGAGACAGGACAAAGACTCTTAAATCATTGCTATACTAAAGCCTGTCTTCACCTAAAGCTTTTCAAATTGCTTTGCCATACAGCATTGTATTTTTAATTTTGATTATCTCAGTTTTTGTCCTCTCCATTACCTTGTCAGGAAAGGGAATCGTTGGTAAACCCATTTTGCAGATGAAGAAACGGAGTTCAGGAGATAAAATACATAACTTATCAAAGGTCACCCAGCTTCAAAGTGGTAGAACTGGGATTTGATCAGAGGCTTATTTGTTTGTTTTAATAAAAACATACAGAGGTGAGAGTCAGAAAATTCACAGAAGTGCTGTAGAAACACTTCTGGTGCATTAGTGATGTTTCAGAAGCTAGTAGTACGCACATTATTTTGGCTTAGATGAGTTTACTCTGGGATCTGTGAACTTCTCAATTCTGGCTTTCAGCTGACTGTTTAACAGTTCACTATCTAAGTTATTAACTTTCCTAAGGACCTTACCTTTTCTTAAATGTCCAATTTTCATTGGACAGAAAAACATTTTTCATATCCCATCCTATGTCCTTCTAATCTCCAGGGTTTACAAAACTTGCCAAGTTCGAAGTCCTTCATAATTATGGGCTGTCACACTATCATGTTTTCTGTTTTAAAGATTGGATTATTTTTTGTATACAAGTATATGATTTGGGTACAAATGAAGTATTTTAAATACACATGTCTTAAAAAACAAAGCTAGAAACTTTAAATTTTGAAAGGAGACCTGTGGGGCGCGTGGGTGGCTCAGTTGGTTAAACTCCAACTTCAGCTCAGGTGATGATCTCACAGTTTGTGAGTTCGAGCCCCGCGTCAGGCTCTGTGCTGACAGCTCAGAGCCTGGAGCTGCTTCAGATTCTGTGTCTCCCTCTCTCTCTGCCCCTCCCCCACTCACACTCTGTCTCTCTCAAAAATAAAAACGTTAAAAAATTAAAAAAAAAGAGGGGACTTGTAATTGCTGGTTTTAGGATGGTTTTAGGAGTAATATTCCCAGATCGTCTGTTTTTTGTTTTGTTTTGGGTTTTTTCTTTGTTTTGCCTTTTTATTTTTCGCTGGTGCTTTTAAGAAAATTTTCTCAATGATTTTTTTTATGGGTGGTAAACACTGGGAAGATTTGCTTTGCAAAGTAGTATACTATCAATCTTTTGTTACCTTTTAGCATCTCTTGATTGTTTACAGGCTTTCTTTTAGCGATTGTCACAATTTGTATGAGAACTATTTATTAAAATTTTAATTTTCCCAATATTTTTAACCTGGGTTTAATGAATATGTTTAGGGTGCTTATTTGTTTTTTTTTTTGTTTTTGTTTTTTCAGTGTGTGAACGCACATCTGGTTAGTTCTACACAGATGTTTAATTTGTTAGACATTCTTTTCAGCAAAGCTCTGACCCACACATGGCTGTCCATGGTGCTCGGGCCTGTGCCGCTCCCCCCCACCCCCCACTCCCCGCCCCCGCTCCAAAGGCCACTGCTCAGATTCTTCCCACCTTTTATCTCTGCAGCGTGGAACCTGCAGTGTGTGCTCTTTCTGCGGGCTTTCCTCTCGGGGAGGTTCTCAGGTCGTCTCTGTGACCCTCCGGATGGGCGCCCGGGTCTTTGGAGCTCGGCTGATGCCATAGTGAGCACCTGTCAGCTGTGCTGGGGAACGCCTGTGTTGGATGCACACCATGTAGTATGTACACTTATGTAGCCACATAAGACAGGTCGGGTAATGTTCCTTCTTTCTCTGCTCTCTTAAGAAGTTGGCCAAATATTGGGGCGCCTGGGTGGCTCAGTCAGTTAAGTGTTTGACTTCGGCTCACGTCATGATCTCGCGGTCCGTGGGTTCGAGCCCTACATCGGGCTCTGTGCTGACAGCTCAGAGCCTGGAGCCTGTTTCAGATTCTGTGTCTCCCTCCGTCTCTGCCCCTCCCCAGCTCATGCTCTGTCTCTCTGTCTCAAAAGTAAAATAAAAAAACATTAATTTAAAAAAAAGAAGAAAGAAGTTGGCCAAATATTGATAGTATTTCTGCTTTAATTGTTTGGCTGGATTCATCGAATCAGTTGTCTCTGGTTTTTCAAATTGCTCCATTTTCCTCTGCTGTCTTTAGGCTTTCCTTTTAGCTTCCGTGTTTCGAGCACTTTTACTATGGTAAGCCAAAGTATGTTTCCTGAATTTGCATCATGGTGGTTTCTTTAGTTTTGGAACATTCTGTGTTATTTTCTTTTTATATTTTCCTTCAGGGCATTCTCTCTTCAGAGGTTCAGCTTAAATGTATTTTGAACAAAATTTCTTACATCATCGTCTTCTCCATTTACCAGCCTTCTCAGTGGCTGGTCCTGGCTCTGTGAGGCCTGGGCTGTGTTGGACTGGCCTCCCCGTGAGGCCTGGGCTGTGCTGGACTGCCCCCTCCTCGGTGGAGCCTTCCGGAGTGCACCTGAGAAGCCAGTGTGTGCAGCCACCAGGGCTCCTCTTTGGCAGCTGCTCCCTCCCCGAGTAGCTGCAGCCTCCTCGGGGCTTCTTAGCTTTTTGCCTTCAGTAGTTTAAGAACTTGGCAGATGGTTTGAGAAGAAAGCTTCTGAATGTCAGGCTCACTGCTTTCTGGGGTCTTTGTCCCATCAGCCCTTCTGTATTCTCTGCAGCCCATCAGGCAGCCGACTGGTCCGTGGAGTCTCTCTTTTCCCGCAGTGGCCCTTTGCCCAGGCTTCTCACGGCTAGAGTACGCTCTCCACCTCGCAGGCGGTACTGACAGCTGTGGTCTGGGATGCTGTCTGCTGCGGGGCCATCCTGCACACTGCACGGTGCTCAGCAGTGTCCCTGGTCTCTGCCCACTCGACCCCAGAGCATCCCTTCCTCTCTCCATCATAGCAGTCGGCGATGTCTCCAGACATCGCCAACTGCCCCCACTTTGAGGATCCCTGCCCTCAAATTCTCCAGGTGTCCATGAAGTCAAAATTGTACACACGCAGGGGCGCCTGGGTGGCTGGGTCGCTTAGGTGTCTGCCTCTTGATAGCAGTTCAGGTCACGATCTCACGCTTTGTGAGTTGAAGCCCCACATCGGGCTCCACACTGACACTGTGGAGCCTGCTTCAGATTCTCTGGCTCCCTTTCTCTCTTTCCCTCCCCTACTCGTGCTGTCTCTCTCTCTTAGAATAAATAAATTTTAAAAAAATTGTACATGCTAAAGAATCCATTCAGAACATCAGACTGACCAGTAGACTTGAACATTCGAGCAATAAAAGTTTATTGATATGTTTTCATATTCTGTATTTCGAGTAACCTTTAAGAAAGTACCACTTACTAAGTTTTAGTATCACTGAGTAAGCACAGTTATCTGTAATGGCTGTGAGAACACTCCCTTTAAACTGCATATTTGTGTGAGGCCGGGCACACTGTACACTTCCACTCAGCGTGCTGCGCAGCAGGTAACACAGGCCCCAGGAGCACCTGTCTGTCCTCCAGGAAGCAGACACTGCAGACTTTTGCCGAAATACAGGATAGGGCCCCTCCTCACCATTTCCATTTAGGAAGTATAGCCGGTTTTCATCTTTAAAGATGTTACAATAGCAGATAATGAAGACTTAAAAATTTTCAGTTTTAATAGTGGTATTAAATATTTAGTATTCAGTGGTAAATACTGCCATGCATAACCCATGGGGTGGGCAAGCTTCTTTTGGGATTCTGGCCTCGCACAGCCTCCTCTCAGGAGCACACAATGGCTTTTTGTAAGAATTAATTATAGCTATTCTTTTTCAATTATTTTAATATCTGAACATCATGTATGGATTTTATAGGTAGATGTCAGCTCTAAGACTGTCTTAAGATCTATAGTTGCAATAATTCTAAAATTAAAAACAATGCTAATATTTAATCCTAGATTAAATTTCTCAAAAAACTGTTTTGTGGAAATAGCGTATAGTATTTGTTTTTTTTTCACTTTTTTTTTTTTTTTTAAATGTTTATTCACCTTTGTGAGAGAAAGACAGAGCATGAGCTGGGGAGGGGCAGAGAGAGGGAGACACAGAGTCTGAAGCAGCTCTAGGCTCTGAGCTGTCAGCACAGAGCCCGATGTGGGGCTTGAACCCACGGACCATAAGACTATGACCTGAGACAAAGTCAGACACTCAACCAACTTAGCGCTCCCATAGTATTTGTTCTAATAAAATTTGAAATAACCTAGTATCTTGGGAATGTTAACGAAATGCAGTCCTCAGCACTTGATTATCGTGCTCTATTAGAAACTAATGTAAGTGCATACTAAGAGCCAGAAGTTATATTTTTAACATAATCAGGAGTATGTTTATTAGTCGTTTGCTATACTGGTTGTTGCTCTATTAGAAACTAATGTAAGTGCATACTAAGAGCCAGAAGTTATATTTTTAACATAATCAGGAGTATGTTTATTAGTCGTTTGCTATACTGGTTGTTAAAATAGTATCAGTACTTGGTTTAACCAGAGTTTTGATACCTTATTTTTGTGTTTCCTGGTACTCCTATATTTTAGAGAATTTTTTAGAGAGGAAGATTATTATCGAAAAATTACATTCTTAGGAATTATTTTCACTGTCATTTTGTGGTCTGTTTTTGTTCCTTCTTATTGTGTCCTTATTTATAATAGTCAGAAATCATAAAATAATTTTCCCACTTACATCATAGTGGGCTTACGTTGGTAGAGTATGATGTCAGAAAACTTGTAAGTTTCCATGTTAGTATCAGTAAAAATCCTGAGTGGCATTCTTTTCTGTGTCTTGTTCAAATTGTGGACACTCAGGGGAGAGCAGAGTCCTGCATCCAGTTACTCACAGATTTCCTTCTTAGGGACTCTGCTTTGAACACCCTACTTAACGTATATCTTCCCCTTTCCCCCCAGAACGCTTTGCCTGGCCCTGCCTGGTTTACATCTGGCGTGTTGCCTGCCCTGCACAGAGGCCCCCCAGGGACAGCCATCCATCTCTGTAGTTTGGTATTTGTCACTGGGGCCTAGGATGTTACGTTCCTGCACAATGAAAAATAGAGTAAAACACTGAGGGGTTGAACACAGGACATTTTAATATGTGAAGTGAATTCTACTTTGTTACTAAGAAATTGCAGATGAAGTATAAACTTTGTGTTTACATACTATGTTATGATTATTCCACAGAACTTAATATAAAATTTCTTTGCAATACAGTATTACAAAATAGGTTAACTCTACCTTTAAAGTACCCGAAATTATTAACTTAATTGAGTAACGAATTCAAATAAAGCAAATTTTTTTGTACTGCTTTGGATTCTCGAGGCTTGATTGTTATAAACTGTTTTTTGACTTCTTATTTAATTTCAGGTTACCAAGGAAGACTTTGCCACATTTGATTATATACTTTGTATGGATGAAAGCAATCTGAGGTAATTTCATGCTTTAAAGGGTATTTTTTGTTCAACTGTCAGTTTAGTAATAGGCCAAATGATTTGTTGCCTAAAGTGACTTTTTAATTAAAGTTTTCATAAACAGGGATGGTCCCTATGTATAGAATTATCTGTTTAGAAGAGTAGGAAACCACAAGGTAACAGAACTGTCGCGTGGGCACGTTTGCAGAGGCCCGCAGGCCGGAGCCGGGCAGCTTCCCGGGTGCCCTCGCCACAGCCGGTGCCGCCACTGCCGCGCGACTCACCCCGTGTCCGCTGGCCCCGCGCCCCAGAAGGGAACCCTGGCAGAAAAGGAAACCCTTTATGTAAATTGTGGATTGCCCTCGCTGCTTTCAAAAGGAAAGCAGGCAGGCCGGGGTGGTGGCTGGTGCCGCGCGTGTTACGTGCGGTTCCGCGTCGTGGGAGGGGCCCGAGAGGGAGGGTCCTTGCCTGGGTTCGTTCGCAGACGCGCGGGCGGGGGGCTGGCCCCCCACCCCGAACCTGCGTTTGTGCCGCAGGGAGCGGCGTCCCGGGAGCGGCAGCGCCTGCGCAGCACCAGGCGCCCGGCCTCAGGTACACTAACACGCACCTGCCGCGCAGCGTGGTCGTGCCCGAAATAAGTGAATACAGTGTATTCTGCAAACGTTGAGGCCGTTGCAGGTTAACTGACCCAAGAGAAGTGTGAGGAAGCTCCGGTGTGAGGCCGGACACCGCGCTCGGTCACGGCCACGTCGCTGGGTTCCCGTACACGCGGGCGGGCGTGCCCTCGGCGTGCCCTGAACGGACACGCCCCTGCCGAGCTTTGCTTCTGTCCTTGTGAATCAGGAGCGTCACTGAAATACATGCATTTTCTATTTTCGGTTTTCAGTTGATTTGTTCTCACTTTCTCACATGACACTGGCATTAGCAGCCTCTCACCGGGAAGCGTGTGGGATGTTTCCCGCACAGTCTCGGGGCTCACGTGGCGCCCAGCGCAGGGCGTGTGTGTGCGTGTGCGTGTGCGTGTGGAGCAAGCGGGGTCCCGGCCGCCCCCCCGCCAGCACGGGGCCTGACGCACCCCAGGTGCTCAGTCTCCACTGATGGAGGAACGAGCAGACACAGCCGGAAAGCCTGGGGCGGGGGCGGCAGAGCCGGGGAGACGCCAGCACACGCGGGGCGGGGGCGGGGGCCCTTCGGGACTCGGTTCTGCAGTCCTTGTTTAGTCTCTGAAACAAGAGCTTTTCTTCATTGTCTCGCCGTGTATTTCACGGGAGCAAACACAGTGACCGGGACTTAGGAGCGTGTGTTTCCTGTAGACGCGTCGGTGAGAACGCCCGCGTCAGAGCCGGGGCGCCGAGGGTTCAGTTTCCTGTCCAAACCAGGTCGCCTTCGCGGGGTTCTGATAATGGATATTTCATAAAACCCTAACAGATGTCCCTGTTTAACTTGAAACCATAGATCAGAAAACTAAGTTCATGTTTCCATTTTACAGAGACTTGACTAGAAAGAGCAATCAGATTAAGAACTGCAAAGCTAAGATTGAACTCCTTGGGAGCTACGATCCACAGAAACAGATGATTATCCAAGACCCCTACTATGTGAGTACCCCCCGCCTGCGTCCTGCTGCTGGGGTGCAGGGCCACGCCGACCGGCCTGTGTCCCCCCCCCCCCCCCCCACGGCATTCTCAGCTGCGGCTTGTGATTTCCTCTTCCTCCTGTGCTTTCAGGGGGATGAGTCCGACTTCGAGACCGTCTACCAGCAGTGTTTGCGGTGCTGCAGGGCCTTCTTGGAGGAGGCCCGCTGACCCGTGCCGGCCCCCCGGCCCCCGCAGGTGCCGCACGGACGCCGCAGCTGCTGCTTCAGTTGACCCTGTTTCTCACCTGAGATACTTGTAGATGGAAATCACTTATTGTATTTGGCAAATAAACAGAAATGTTTCATCCAGTTTATGGGGTACACGAAGTGTTCTTAGACCACCTGAACCTCCCGCTTTGCCCCAGTGACAAAAATAATGGAACAGACAAAACAGCAGAGCACGAGATGTCCATCACCCAGCAGGCCGCGGGGCACCCGAGCTCTCCTCTTCTTCCCTGAGTTCGGGGACCGCCGGTGGGGACAGCGCCCGCTGCTGTCTGCACGACCCGCTCTCGCCAGGGCCCCTCGTCCAGCCGGCGGCCTTCGCTGGAGCTCACCCCAGCTCACAGTGCTCGCCGTTGTCGTAGAAAGTGGGAGAGAGAAAGAGTCAGGGTGTTAATCTTTAGAACCTTTAATACTTGCTAGTTTTTACCTGTCTAGTTTATTTCATAAGGAAGTCTGCTTCCTTCCATTTGAACCATTTTGCCACTGGAAATTTAATTCCATTCAGTAAGAAAGACACTGTATGCTGGTTTGGCTGTTAAATGCTATATGACTCAAATGTCAAATATAGATTAGCTTAGGTGCGAAAAAAATAATTAAAAAGTTGGGAAAAGTTCTTTTATGTTGGAATGCTTAAATATTGATACATTATTCTTTCTTCAGTGTTTAATTTGTAGACAAATATAGGCAACTTCTCTGTGCTTTGAAATAACTATTCTAAAATTCATATGGATATATGGCAGAAAAGATTGTTTTCAAAATAAACTGGGGAGATTATAAAAATACAACTAAGACAGAAGTCTGGTGTCTACCTGCTTTTTTATTGGTAAGTGAAGGAGAATGAGAAACCAGTGCCTTTATTGTCTCTTTCAGATGATCTGTGATGCTGTGTATGCATATTTATCCTCAGTGTTAGGAAGTAAAATGACAAAAATCAGTATCTTGCTTCCATTTATGATAAAGTATTTGTGAAAGAAATATGAGGCCTCTGCAGCCATAATGTCCTTGCCTGACCCCGCCATCTGCAGAGTGTGACGGTCTGCTCCTTGGAGCCTCCTGGGTGGTGGGTAGGTGGGTGACAGCTTGCTGTGCTCCTAGTCTTTACCCTGACTCGTAGCCGCTGGTCTGGACCCCTGGGAGAGCCCCACTCACCCATCGGTCTTCATCCAAAGCCTGAGTGGATCACTGCTCAGAAGTAGAATGAGTTTAGAGGAACAGCTGCCCCATCAGGTTGCCCACGTCTGGGTTTCCTGGGGTTTCCACAAAGTCCTCGGAGCCCGAGGGGCCCAGGTGAGAGGGGTGGGGGGCATTTAGTCCCGGAGCCTCCTCCCGCCTAGAGGATGAGCGGGCCGGCTTTCCCACCACCCTGACAGGATGTGTGTCCAGCTCCCTGTGGAATTACCCGAGTCTGACCTGAAAACTCTTCTGCGGACAAGTAGGAACCTCAGAGTTAAATGTATTGACAAATTGGTGATAATACCCTAAAAAGTAAAGAACTGAGAAGAAAAGATCAAGTAATTAACCACAATTAGAAAATACTATTAAGAGCAGTTCAGGGGCGCCTGGGTGGCTTAGTCGGTTAAGCGTCCGACTTTCGCTCAGGTCATGATCTCACGGTTCGTGGGTTCGAGCCCTGCATCGGGCTCTGTGCTGACAGCTCAGAGCCTGGAGCCTGTTTCAGAGTCTGTGTCTCCCTCTCTCTCTGACCCTCCCCTGCTCACGCTGTCTCTCTCTCTCCTAGAAATAAAAAAAAAAAGCACTTCAGAGTTACACTCTGCTCTCATCAGTCAGTAGTTGCTGAACAGTCTCTAATTTCACACCCTGTTCCTTCGTGATCATGAATGAATCCCTATAGTTTGTTTTCTATACTGTTTGTGTACGTGTCTTAAATCTGGACCTCAGACATCCCATGACACATGTCTACTTGGTCCTTATGGCTATCTCCAGAGGAGGGGCCATGTGAACAGGGAAACTCACTGCTGACCTTAGTTGTCTTAATGTTTTATTTATTTCTGAGAGAGAGAGACAGCGTGAGCATGGGAGGGTCAGAGAGAGAGGGAGACACAGAATCTGAAGCAGCTCTAGGCTCTGAGCTGTCAGCACAGAGCCTGACGCAGGGCTTGAACCCACGAACCGTGAGATCATGACCTGAGCCGAAGTCAGACGCTTAACCAACTGAGCCACCCAGGTGCCCCAAGACCTCAGTTGTCTTAAGTTGGATGCAATCTTTTGTTCAAAATAGATCACCTGTAAAAATCTAGGTAAGAGGAAGTCTTATCTCTTAGTGTTTTCATGACGACGATGTCACGCTAGAAGTAACTGGTGCCTCTCATTTAAATATTCATCACCCTATCAGGCTGTAACTTGAGACATACCACAGCCCTATGGTAGCATCTCTTTTAAAAAAAAAAGTCAATTTAGTTGTCCCTTCCAAGAATCTTTAGCCTTCCCATTTCATTTATTCCTACCTTTTGTATTCCATGTCATTCCTGCCAGTGTTAGGATCTCTTCATAGGTCTGTAAATCATGAATTCCCACCCAGTGAACTTGTTAGAAGTGAAGAGTCACTTTTGGGGCGCCTGGGGGGCTCAGTCAGTTAAGCGTCCGACTTCAGCTCAGGTCATGATCTCGTGGTTCGTGGGTTTGAGCCCCGTGTCGGGCTCTGTGCTGACAGCTCAGAGCCTGGAGCCTGTTTCAGATTCTGTGTCTCCCTCTCTGTCTGACCCTCCCCTGCTCGCGCTGTCTCTCTCTCTCTCTCTCTCTCTCTCTCTCTCTCAGAAATGAATAAAAACCTTAAAAAAATTTTTTTAAAAAGTCACTTTTAAGACTTCATTATAATAAACACTTTGTTTATTACTTGTTTCAACATTTACAGTATTTACATATTGCACAATATCTGGATACTATGTTACATTTATTGTACAAAGGACAAGTGAAATTAGCCTGGGTATGTTCACAGCTTTACACTCCACTGTCTCCAAAACATGACAAGGTTTTTTGTGGGTTTTTCTGGAATTCCAAATAATACTCTGGGAATTTAACTGTAAAAGTAATAAAAATATTAAATCATACCATATGCTATATGAAAATATAGTTTCAGATTCTGTTTATGTTTCTAAAGAAATATTCTTTGAGATTTCACCTAATTAAGTAAATGAAATCACTTTCTCTGTCATTTTGTAGCACTACCCATCAAATGTGGAGCATTCTTTTTTCCAAGATCATGAGTGGCAAGTATTTTTACCATCAGGTACGCTGATTTACTGAATATTTATCTGCCAACAGTGTCAACAACATACAAAACTCAAGTTAAAGGAAGTATGGAAGAGTCTGTCTGCAAAAATAAATCTCTTGTTCACAAGGGGACGTGTTCATGAAGGTAGTAGGTTCTGTTCCCTGCTGGTCTCCAAGGCACTTCTCATGGTTCATGGGCTGTGGGTCCTCTGCTGCTCTGCCCACAGCTGAAAAACATTTGGTTTCATATAACCATTCACACTTACCACTTCTAGAAGACCTAGATAGATGTTGAATTATGTAACATAATGTGTTTGTAAACACAAGGGATCACAGTCTGCATGTACATTTCTCTCTGTTCCAAAAAGCATAGTCCATTTTATTGAAAGTAACCAGGTCCCACAGTTGTTACACGCTCACTATGCTAAAGGAGTGAGAATCTTCCTAAATACAACCAAATGCTTATTAAAGTCAAGACAGCCAGCCCTTACCCCTGATGTGTGTGTTGTCAAGTCCTCAGTAATTCAGGCCACATTGATTTACAGTTTGTGGCAATCCTGAGAAATAGCCGATTGGCCTTTACACTTCCGTCTTCAGGAGCATTTGCAAAACCTATAACCAAGAACAAACTCCTTTTCCTAGCACTCCATGCCATTAATTTAATTTAAAAAATAATGGTAAGCTTCAGAGTTACTAAAACCAGACTGCATTTTGTAGACTGCACTAGGTACTTGTTACTCAAAATGACATTTCTTTGGAAATATTCCAGAGCTCAGGCTTCTAATTTCCCTGGGCTGCAGCCTTACGTAATGAGGTGTGTGCGTAAGACGTCTGAGTGGATCTCTTGACTACAAGGGAGAGTAGCCGGGAATCTATAATTACTTGTTGGCTGGAGGGGATCAGTTAATGAGCTTCCGAAAGAAGGGTTTGTGCTCAGCTCAGCTCACAAACGTGAAGAGTCCCTGTGCTCACACCCTGTATACATTGGCTGCTTTGAGGCTCAGCTTGGAGAAGACAAGGCTACGGTCTGGAGCCAGAAGAGGAATCCCGTTCTGCAGCTGTGTCCCGTCCTGTGCGGCTGTAAGGGCAGCAGAAGACCGGTGTCTGGACACCGCTTCCTCCACACCAGGGTGGCTGTGCTAGCCAGGAGAAGATGTGTTCGTGTGCGAGTGCTGCGTGTGCGAGTGCTGCGTGTGCTCTGCCCTGCAGACGCCTCACTGATGTCCTCACCCAACCCGCAGGGCCCTCATGTCTACGTGTTGTGACCAACCAGTGGGGAGTCTGCTATTGATGTTTAAAACTTCTGGAATTAGAAGAAATTAGTCTTTAAAAACGTTAGGAAATCATTATAGTTGATTTGAGAAACACAGCAGAAATGTCTGTGTTTTTTAAACTTCACCCACTTCTTGACCAAAATGAACAGTTACAGCTGTGACAAGTGTGACAGCTGGGCACGGTGGCTTTGGGCATAACACTGGTGGGCACACCCCATTCTTGTCTCCCCTTGCTCCGCCATCCAGGCAGACTCTGACTTGCTGGGTCAGGGTGGGGAAGTGCATTAACCATCAGCACCTTTCCCAAGGCCACGTCTGCTCCACCTGCCAGGACTTCCTTTCTTTTTTGCATTGCCATGAGTATCCAAAACCCTGATGTGCCCATCCGGGACCGATGCAGAAGTAGAACCACACCCAGTACTAATTCCGTACCAACATACGTCCCTAGGTAATGATGGTCATTCTTGCTCTGGAAAGCCCACCTTGCTGCCCCTCTGGAAGCAACCAACTGTGGGGGAGCAGGTGGTCAGTTAAGGGGCGTGGAGACAGGGAGCAAGTAGCCTGACTAGATGGCCATAGGGCATTTGGTCTCCCTGCCTCTAAGTAAATGGAAGTTGTTTTCCAAGGATGTGCCTGGCTCATCTCTGGAAACGTTGATGAAGAAAGGGAACTATGAAGAGAGATTACACGTAACCTCTTCTAGAGAGTACCACCTGGAGAGACAGGAGAGTCCATTCATTGCTTTAAAAAGAAGCCTTTTCTGTGTGCCTTGTAGGCAGTGTAAGAAACCAGAGAGGACTCAAACGGCAAGTGAAGGTGGAGGTCAAGTTAGGGCATGACATTTCTCAGCTTTGGCATTAAAAACCATGCTTTTCCTTCTCCCCAAATAAAAGGTGCCACACAAGTTTCAATGAACCCACACAAAATGTGGTCTCGTAATCCCCCACTTGACCACATGCTTCACCGAACCCCCATGTGGCTCCTCTCGTTACCAGTGGGACTTACGACGGAGAGAACACGGTGCCAAGGCTGGCACTGGCCATGCCTGCGTGGCCAGTCCCGGCTGCGAGGTTTGGCTCAGCCCCTCTGCACTGTCTGGCCGTTAATTTATCACCACCGGCTTTTGCCCAGGGAGCATGTCCGTGTGTGAAAGAGCAGGACCCCCTCATCCACTCACATGAGACAAATGAGGGGAACCCCTGGACAAACACAATATCCTATCCCTTTTTTTAATAATGTTTCTGGACAGCAGATAAACTAGGAACAGCCACGTGAGGACCAGAAGCGGGTCCCTCCTGTGCGGGTAGGCTTGGCATCCGGCCGTTCCCAGCACATACAAGTCACATGGTAAATATGAGATTCTGAAATTACCATTTTGTGACCGAAATCCATGGCATTTGTGTCAGGAAAATAAAACCTCTCAGCCATCTGTCTGGCTGATAGCCGGTGTTGCATGTTGCACATCAGCCCTCAAGAGGCCAAGGTAAAAAATTTAGTTCATAAATTCTCGATGTGCGTTTACATTTTTACCACTGGAGGCTATGAAAGAAACATATAAAGACGATAGCTATTCTTGGCTATTCCTTACAAGCTAACTGGCATGATGATAGGCTCCAACTCACACATTTGCCAGATATGTCTATAAAAGCTGCATGGATATGGTTAGTCATATACTCATTTATGAGTGTAAGTGAATGAGTGAAAGCCTAAAAGTGAGCAGGCATGATTTTAGATATGTATCCTATTTTATGCACCAAATCACGTGCTGAAATTAGTCTACTAATGGGTTTTGTTTCAAATTAACACACACTCTGCCAACTGAGCCCTCACAGGGATATTTTGCAACAGCTGCCTGCGGTACTGTGTGCAGGTGGCGGGGTACCTTACAGTGATGGCCATTATTTGGAGATACTTTGAGTGTTACGTCAGCTTTATTCAAAGTAAGGCTACTTTGGTCAAAGAGTGAGTGTTTCTAAACTCCCATGAATTTTTCACGTCACGAACGAGACTCGGGTCTTTGGTGTGTGTGCCAGTGAATCTATGGTCAGCTTACCTTATCCCTCCATGCACATTGGACTGACGGCCAGCCGGGTAAGAAGCCTGGCACATCTTTTATAGTCTGTAATGAAAATAAACCACAGACCTTTGTCAGTTACGTCAACAACTCTTAGAGCATTTTGTTTAACAAGTATATCAACTGCTAAAGCCATTTTTTAAAATATTTTGAATTCCCTAGAAGTGATATAGAGACTGTCATCTGAAATCATGGGCTCTAAGTTGTTGAGTTAATACTTTATGGTAGTTCAGAGGCTTTTGTGTCACAGGTCAGGGGACAAATAATGTAACTGGAAGCTGTGTGGGAGGAGCAGACACAGAATCTTCTGCCCATTTTCTCTCCTCAGTGGCTCCTGTGCTCATCAGAACGGCTTTGGTTTTGCTGCCTAGCAGACAGTCCCGTGCCCCGTACAACGGACTTTCCAGGCATATGCAGGCGGGGTCCCCATGTGGGCTGATCATACACTAAACCCTCTTACTTAAAGACAATGAGTCAACAATCAAGTAACAGAGCAGAAAGGCCTGGGTTGGATAACGAAAGGAAGCAGTAAGCTAATTTCTGAGTATAGACTGATTCTCCATGATATCTCACTTAATTTCCTGCTAAAGTATTCCATGGGTGCTACCTCAGAGAACCCAAGTGAGGTTTAGTGATCGTGGCCATCATGGGATTTCCTCAGCTGGAAGTTCTGGGGAAAAGCTCCAGCAGTTTATAAATTACTAAACTTTACTTCTCAAGAGTCTCAAAATCCTACTTAAAAATGGAGGAGTTCATACTCTTAACTAAAATTCTGATATACCAGTAAATAGACAACAGTGAATTTGCACAATGTGTTAGATGAACAGCTAACCCCTACCCCTAAAAATGTGGCTCTTAAATATATAGAGGACCTAATAGTTGGTTCTCAAAGAAATAAAAAAAGGTCTAACAGCTGGAGGCTGGGTCCTCTGGATTCCTGGCATTTTCTTCCTCTTCCCTATCACACCAAATCATTTAGGATGCAGTTCTCCTAAATAGAGCACACGTGAATTCAGCGTTGTGTGAGCTCAAGGTAAGCCCTTCCTTTTGCAGCACATCTAGAGGCCGTGAAGTTGACCACCACCCTTCCCCCGCCCCGCCCCACCCCACCGACCCAACATGTCCTCCAACCCTAAAATAATCTGGGGGTCCTGTGAAAGCGCAGTCTGGAGAGACTTCATGCTCTGCCTTGCCAAAGAACCCCACCTTGGGACCACACTTTGAGTAAGAAGGCTCTGGCTCCTTTCAGCCCTGACCTCCCAGGATTCGGTTCTCCAGCGCTATGAGGGCAGAGAGAGGTGGAAGCCACGCCCACTCTCCCAGTGCACACGTCTGAGGACTTCAGGCCTCCTGGGCCTGAGAGGAGGTGTGATGCAACCGAGTTACTCTGAGCAAAAAGAGACACGGTGTCCTCGAGTCAAGCGGGTGATGTCTGCGTGTCAGTGCACAAGCAATTGAAGCATGTTGTCTGCTTCCTCATCCATAAATGAAAAGATTAGGAGTGATGACCCCAAAGATCATCTTCAAATTTAGAAACTGTGATCCTATTAAGATGGTGTTTAGTATAAAAATATATACACATGTACACAATAAAAATAAGAAGGTTTTCTGGTCCCCAAAATAATTAATAACTCTCAAACAGAAGGTGATTCCATTTCAGAGGAAGGAAACAGGAAAGGAACATGTGCCAGCTGCCTATGGCATGGAAGAGAGAGGGTGGACGGAGGCAGGGATTGAAAAATAAAAATCAGAGCTCCGTGGAACATGCGTGCTGCTGGCCTCGGCTGAGCCCCGTGAGGGCCACTGTGCGGCCACTTTAACAGGGAGCTTCCCGCGGCTGGGAAGACCAGGTGGGGCTCCTGGTCTTCCTGGTGTCAATCGCGCCTAGATGGGACCTCCCCACATGTTGTCGGGCACAACTTTGCTGCCTAAGCGGAAAAACCTTCCACTGAATGTAAAGTGGCTTATTTTTTCACGTTTTGTTTCTTGAAGGCAGGGCAGGAAAGTGTGGTCTGGATAGTCTAGATACTCTCTGGATAGTTTCTGAAAGCAGCTAGTAAGAGAGCTGGTGTGTCTGCACCACTTTCCTCCTGTGAGCCTTACATGAAATGAAAGGTTCAGTCCCTACAAAAAAAAAAAAAAAAAAAAGATGTCACGGTAGCTAATAAGTCACCTGTCATCATTATCTGTTTTGTGAAGAGCACTAGTAACCACTTTTGGAGAAATAAAATGTGTTTTGTCACGGATGAACAATCAGAAAACTATATAGCTGGGCACTGCATTGAGACAGGAGCTCGCCAGTTTTGGATTAGGGATGAGGCCGGCCAAGAGCGCGGGAGTCTGAAACAGCAATAAAGTCCTCAGGTAATGAGGTTGTAATTACTAATGGAAACGAGGAAGTCTTTAGTCAGGGTGGTCCAGGTCCACGGATTCCTTACACCCCAGAGCACAGAACTCCAGCCTAGTCATCTTAGCGCTTGTTTGTCATATTGAGTAGATAACTCAATAGGTACAGACATCACTCCAGAATTCATGAACAAAACAAGAATGTGAATGGAAGAGTCCAGCCCATTCCAAGAGGTGATTAAATCCAGTGAATGTAAATAATCTTCCCTCTGGCACTAGCTGCTACAGAACACAGTGACCTTCTCCTGTGGTCTGGCCACCCTAACCCCTAACTCCATAGTTAATAGGGAAAATATATTAGCAAGCAGGAGACTTAGAAGGAGGGGTCTGTATAAGTAGAAGGACATGAGAATCACATCTGCGTATGCTGGTTTTCCCCACCCAGTCCGGACGCTGTCACTTACATGCAGGGATGGTGCAGTCTCTGGTGTTGTGGTACAGTCTGTGGAAGTGTTTGCTGCACTTTGGGCTGAAATAAAGAGGACCTGGAACATGGAAGAAGCGTACTGTGAGGGCCCGCAGGATGCCTGGGACTGGGCACAGGTGAAGGAATGAGGAGACTCACCTGTCAGATGTTTTAGAAACTTGTCTTTCATCCTTAGATCTCGAGGAACAATTTCTGTTTGAAGGGAAAGAAGTTAATTATGGCATTGCTTGAGAGAAGCATTTTTTTTTTCATGTGATCTAAGAGACAGCTGAAGAAAGTTGTTGGAAACTGCATTAGCCGGGTTACATCACACTAAATAAAGCGGACTGGAGCCCCCTTGACTGACTGTTCACATGACGCAATGTGAAGACCTGTAATCAGGGACATATTTTTCTTCAGATAAAGTATTAAGTATTCACAAAGCTTCAATATTATTTGTCTGGTCTCTGCCCCTATGGAAAGCAGTGACCAGAAAGTTATAGGTTGAAGGAGGAGTGTGTGTGTGTTGGCAGTTAGCTTCCAATATGGAAATCGCTGTAGACATTTTCATTTTGGAGAGCTTGGGAATCAAATCCCACAAGCCCTCAAAGTTCTAAAACGAAAACCCAATCCTTCAAACAGCAACAACAAAAAAGTGTCATAAAACTTCTCTTTTTCTAGGTATATATTTAGAGAAAGGACTAAATGCTTTCAAAACCACCTGTTACAAAGGCTGGAAACAGACATTTACTTGGTTTGTAAGATAAAAAGTGAAGTTCCCAGGGAAGGACAGCTCTCAGGCTTCACTCTGGAGCTAGTGATGCTCCCAGTGACACTTTCTGCGTCCAGGCTTCGGGTCTGATTTTTCAGTCACCTGTTAACCATGTCTCACTCATTTGCTCCGGGTAGTGACTTTGCTACGACTGCGTGTGGCTGCACTTTGTTTTATCACAAATACTCATCTGAGGAGGGAACGTTTCCTACGAACCTTACTCACTTGCAAGGCTTACGCGTCTCCTGAATGTCAGCCTGTATAAAACTGACCTTATCACATTTGACCTAATTGTGTCATGGAAGCATTAAAAGCTTGCATGCTTTCTCTGGAAATTTCCCTTGGGGCAGCCACTCTGGGAAGGCTCTGCCCGGGGCAGAGGGGGCGCGAGGGGAGGGGGCCGCTCTGAAGCATTTCTGTCTCGGTTGAAAGTGCTTTGCTGAAAATATTTCCATTTCCAGAATAACAGATGACAGTTCGGTGCCAGAGCTCCCGGCCTTGGAAGCGGAGTTCGGAGGGTGAGTTACACGCCGGGCGTCCTTTACCGAACTCCTACTTTCTTCTTATAAAAACATATTGCCTGGTTTCCCCCCAAACAATAGAAATGGTTTTATCTTGTTCAGATGTATATGTTTCCTCAGAGACAGTTCTATTTCCGAGAGAACACGGATCCGGTGTCCCCCGAGACGGACGCGCGGGGGTGCGGGCCGGGGGCGGGGGCACTCACCCACTCTCTGCTCCGCGGGGTCCAGCGCCGAGTCCGCGTCCCTGCGGCCCAGGCTGTCGCCGCGCGGGCCCGCGAGCTGCAGCCTCTTGGACTCGCCCTGCTGGGACTTCCTGAGCTCCTGCAGGAGCTCCACCACCAGCCGCAGCAGCGTCGGCCCGTCGGCCGCCTCCCGGGGCTCCGCGACCCCGGGCCCCGCCGCGCCCAGCACCAGCAGCAGCCCCAGGAGCAGGGGGCGCCCGGGCCCGCGCATCCTGCGCTCGCTCGGCGGGAGGGAGCTCGGCTCGCTGCAGGGGCGCGGGGAGACGGGGAGGAAGGTCGGCGGGCGGCGGCGGATGGGGGGGCCGGGGGGGGGGGACGGGCAGGCAGCGCCGGCTGAGGCCGCGGCCCCCGGGACCCCGCGCGGAAGGGAGCCTGCGGCGGTGGCTGGGACGCGGCGTCCCCGGGACCCGCGGAGGCCCCGCCGCGGAGGTGCCGCGAGCCGAGCCTCGGGGCACCGCCCCCCGCCCGCGTCCCGCCCCCGCACCGGCCCTCCCAACTTTGGGGAGAAACGGCACATCCGCTTGCACTTCTCGGCGCGAGACGTCGGCACAACTTTCTTAACCTCTGAAACCACGCGGCGCCGGAGGGGAGGCAGGGGGGCCCCGGGATGGCTCGGCCCGCGGGAGGGGGTCCTCCGGACCCGGCAGCGCCTCGCCCTCCAGCGAGTGGGGGCCGCGCCCGAGTTTTCAGCAGCGCCTTTGTGTGGCGGTCGCCCCCTCCTCCCGGCCGGGCGTCCCCGAACCCAGACGATGAGTCTCGGTGCCGGGACCCCCGCTCCAGCCGCCCGGAGCGTCGGGTTCTAGAAACCCCCAGCCCTCGGGGAGGGAGCCCGGCCCACACCTTCCCGGCGCCGCCAGCGAGTCCACCTGCGCGTCGGGGCCCGGCCGGGTTACCTGTCCCCGCGCCCCGGAGCCACGCGCGTCCTCCGGCGTCTGTCCCGGCGTCCGTCCGGCGTCCGTCCGGCGTCCGTCCGGCGTCCGTCCCGGCTCTGACCCCGCGCCCGCTACTCCATGCCCCGCGGCGACCCGGCGAGCGGACGCGCAGACCCGCTCGGCCGCACCGGGCGCTGGACGCGTGGCCGCCTCTTATCCCCGCGCGCGCCGACGTCAGGCGGGTCCCCGAGGGCTCCGCGCGGGGCTTTAATTAGAAGCCGCTCGAGTGTTCGTACCCCCGTGCGGATCTTCGTCAGACACCCCCCCTCCGCCTCCTCCCGTCTCTCCCTGCGCCCCCCGGCCCGCCCCCCGCCCCCCGGCTCTCCCCTCGCCCCCTGGCCCGCCCCCGTCCTCGCCACCCGCCCCCCTCGGCCTGCCCCTCCCCCTTCTCTCGCTCAGTCTGTTTCCCTCCGTTCCTGTCACTTGTGACAGGATGAGAAGAAACGCCTTTACCAGGAACTCAGCTCTGTTTTTGTCTAAATGTAGATCTTCGGCTATTAAAACAGGAGCTGCCTGATTGCCTCGACATTTAATAAGTCAATTAGACTCTACCCTTTTCGGAGGAGTCCGCCGCCGTGGCCGGGAGCCGCTCTCGGGTCCGCCAACGGCCTGCGCCTTCCCCCCGCCGGTCCGGAGGCCGGGCCCGAGGCGGGGCAGCCCAGGGACGTCGGGGTGCACTGCCGGGGGGCACGGCCGGGGTGCACTGCCGGGGTGCACTGTCGGGGTGCACGGCCGGGGTGCACGGCCGGGGTGCACGGTCGGGGTGCACTGTCGGGGGGCACGGCCGGGGGGGCACTGCCGGGGTGCACTGTCGGGGTGCACGGCCGGGGTGCACTGCTGGGGTTCACTGTCGGGCTGCACGGCCGGGGTGCACGGCCGGGGTACACGGCCGGGGTGCACCGCCGAGGTGCACGGTTGGGGTGCACTGTCGGGGGGCATGGCCAGGGTGCACCGCCGGGGTGCACTGCCGGGGTGCACTGTCAGGGTGCACGGCCAGGGTGCACGACCGGAGTGCACGGCCGGGGTGCACTGTCGGGGTGCACGGGCGGGGGGCACGGCGGGGGTGCACCCGGTGCCTGGCGGGGAGCACGGCAGCCCCTCCCGGAACCCCCCTCGGGGGACCTCGCCTCCCCTGGAAGCGCCCGCAGGAGCCCTCCTGGGCCCTCCCTCCAGGCCTGGTCTTTCCGAAAGTTCGGGTACTTTGGATACAGGCAGGCGCATTTGTGAGGCCTCAACAGTTTATCTCCTTTATTTTTTTTCTTGTAAAATGTATTATCAATCAATTGCGCGCTTTCCCATTTTATTGGCGCTTTCTGGGCAGGAGCTGGACCTGCTCCAAGCGGGCGCTCGGCCTGGGAAAGGTGCTCTGGGCGCGGCAGCGGGAGGGAGGGCGCGCGGGGAGCGAAGGCCTCGCCCTCAGCGGGGCCCGCGCCCAGGCCGCGGCGCACCCCCCGGGCGCGGCGGGGGTCTCTGCGTCTCTGCGTCCCTCCCCTCCTAGTTCTGTTTCCTCGGGGACACAAAGTGCTTGTCACAGTGAGGGTGCGATAAATAGAACAGAGACAGAAGACCCTACAGTGTGATCATCTAACCCTAACCTCCCCGCATCTTTTGGGGGGATGTGTTTATATTCTCAATTTTAAAAGGAAATGTGTTGTTTTTTCCTTTTTGGCAAGCACTATGACTAAAATGTGAACGTTTTTGTTAAGATATACTAAAAAAAAAAAAGGAAAACTTGTATCAAACAGTTCTGAGGCAGAAAAAATGGGATTTTGTTTTCTTTTTCCCTTTCCCTTGGAGTGGGGGTGAGCCTGTCGTGCAGGAGCGCCGCCTAGTGACAAAAATTCCCCCTGCGGGCACTAGGCAAAGGCCGGGGTGCAGGAGCCCAGACCCGCCTAAGAGAAGGGGCAAGTGAAGCCTCCGTTGTAAAATATTTTGGTGTAAAGCTGCTTTTGGGGAAAAAAAATGCTATGGTAAAAAAAAGAAAACAAAAAATTAGCTCAGTCACAGATTATTTTAAATTCACATACAGTCTTTCCTTTTAATACAAAATTAGGTGAAATCAATGAAGAGAATTAAGAGGTACAAGTTCCAGTTATAACATAAATTAGTCATGGGATGAAAAGGTCGACACAGGAAACACAGTCAATCATATTGTAATAATTTTGTATTGTGATAGATGGTAATTCCGCTTATCATGGTGAACATTTTTTTAATGTATGTCATTGTTAAATCACTGTGTTGTACACTTGAAACTAATATTGTCAACTATACTTGTAAAAATTTTTAAAAATTTTTAATTAATTTTTAAATTTTAGATTTTTCTAACACCTGTTAGAATTATTCCTCCTCCCCAAGTTGGCCAACGAAGGAGGCCTTGCTAGCAATTCATAATATCCTTTTATCTTTGTGGTTTTCAAAGAGACAAATGGATTTCTTGAATGACGCGTTCCTATGGCCCAGTTGTGCGCGCCAGCACCTCAGCCCGTCTCAGCGGGTCCTCACATGCAGCAACAGCAGCAAGAGAACTGGTGCTTGGTTGGTGTTTGGTTCCACGAGATCTGGCAACTAAGGATCAGACAGTCGTGTTTTAATTCATTCATTTTTGCAAAGGTCTGTGCTGAAATGACTCCAGGAACCACTAGTTTTGTAGAAACCATTGTTAGAGACTTTCTTAACAAAAAGTGCACTGATTTGTAACGTCTACTGAGCTGTTCAATTTATGGCATTATCAGTAAGAACTCCTTGGAGTTCAATCACCAGAATTATGAGTATTGTATCCATTGTTAATGCATTCTGTTTGGCTAAATTAATTGTCTGTGCTGGTTAAGGCAATAGTGGGGAGGAGGGAGGGAGGCAAACCATGAGAGACTCTTGAATGCTGAGAACAAACTGAGGACTGATGGGGGGGGGAAGGAGGTGATGGGCATGGAGGAGGGCACTTGTGGGGATGAGCACTGGGTGTTATATGGAAACCAACTTGACAAGAAACTATTTGTAAAAACGAAACAAAATAAAACAAAAAACTCCAAAAATAAAAAGGCAAAATACATGTAAACTGATTTACATGAAAATACAAAGTTGTGAGGTTCCTGGGTGGCTCAGTTGGTTGAGCATCTGACTTCTGCTCCGGTCATGATCTCATGATCTCATGGTTCTTGAGTTCCAGCGGTGGCATCGGCCTCTCTGAGGTTAGCACAGAGCCTGCTTCAGATCCTTTGTCCACCCTTCTCTCTCTGCCCCTCCCTCACTTGTGCCCGTTAACTCTCTCTCTCTCTCTCTCAAAAATAAAATAAAAACATTAAAATTAAAAAAAGAAGAAAATATAAAATTGAATTTGAAAAATGATTTAGTCTCTCTCTCCACTTCTTTCCTCTAAAACGAGGAGGTTGGATTGGATGATCCCTGAAGTCTCAATCTGTAAAATTCTATGACTGTTACTGAAAAAAGTCTGAAAACAAAAAATTCAGTGTTCCTACAAAGAACTTCATGAAAATAATTCACTGAAATATTCACTGAATTTTATCATTTGTTTCTATGCAAGAATAGGTGATATATTTATATGAAATAATTTAATTCCCTACTTCAGCAGGTGAACAACTTTCTGTTATGAAGGATCAAAACAGAGAAGGCAGCAACACTATATTCTAAGCATCATTGGCAAAAGTGACTCTTGCTAGATTTGATTTAGTTTTGTTTCCTTTTTGAAAACAGTGTGTTGGATCATAGAAAGAAAACTAACAAGAGAGGGAAGAGTTGTATTTAACCTACTTTTATTGTAGATCTATATTGTGAAATGGGCAAGTTATGTTTTCAGTTTATAAACAGTATAAAGCTCCAATGTTTCAATTACAATGACTTTTGTCTCTTCCTGAAAGGTATAAAATTTATTTGAGATGACTCTTAACTGCCTTCAAATACTTCTAAAATAGATATATATTAACTGCATGTTTTTAAATGAATTATTATATGAACCATTATATTGAACCATTATATTGATCATTTAACAATCTAAATAAAATCTTATTTGAGAGAAAAACAATTATCTTTCATAAAGACTAACTTTATGTGCTATAAAAATGTTAACTTAATGTTTAACTTTCATGTATTCTATTATTGTTGCTACCAATACATTATTAGCACAGTGGGAATGTACTGGAAAGTATGTAAAGCATTTCCGAAGACAAGACCTCTAACAGGACCAATCTTCCTGGTGCAAGTGTGATCAGTGTCATCTCTCATAAGTAATCATGTGTGCATGCTCTCAACCTCTTTTTTTCTG